GTGTTTTTTTTTTTTTTGAACAAAAAGGTCGTTCAAGTTCAATTTATGGACAGAATAACTTCATTTTATGTTATTTTTTTCAAGGAGGAGCTATTTTGTAACATAACAAATATCCCTTTTTGCAGCTCAAGATAATTTTGTGGTTTTTTCAATAGTCAAAATGGAGGAAAATGAAGGCATTACTTGTCTAAGACGACCCAATTCGCGTGGATTTTCTTGGCCTCGGAAGCAACTGCACCGCACGGTGAACCCGAGATAACTTTTATCTTCACATTGATCTAAAAAATTACCAACAATTAACCAAAATCGTTGTCGAACTCCGATTGAAGTGTTAAATTTATTAAGGAAAACAAAACTATAGTCACCTTGTTAGGATCATAAACATCGTGAAGCTGAAGGATCATTTGGGAGCAAGAATCCGTGATTTCCGATTTCTGCTCTGAACTTGTACCGGTAGAGTGGGCCCGCGCTGCTCTGTGGCCACTAGCACAATCCCCGGCAAATCTTGGAAAGCCCCATAATTTTCGACCTGAATGAGTGATATAAGAAAGAAGACAATGGTGAAAAATGCTTCAAAAGGAAAGAAAACAAGAAAGATTTAGGATAATGGACAATATCACACTCTAAATTTGCAATTCATAAGTATAAAATCATACACTTAATTTCCGGGAGCTGGAAAAATGAGGATTATCGATTGTATTCGACAAAAAAACGGCAAGAAACTACAAAAATATGAAATGAATCAATATGATTTAAGAATTATTTACCAGAAAGTTGTGATGAGGAGAAAACCACAAGAAGTGTTATACAGTCCCCAGGCTGAACAACATGAGTCAAAGCCCATACCAAAGCTGTCTTAGGTATATCCTTCGATGCCTTAACAGCCACCACGACTTTCTCAGCCACATCACAACCCTTTTCCACTTTCTTCAACTCTTTATTCATTACCCCAACAAACTATTCCTCTCCCCACAAAGACTTACAATAATAAAACACAGTTTCTTCTTAAGGGGGGCACCACAATTTCAAGCCACTGTGTGAAACTGCACGAGCAAATAATGAGATGAAACATTAGTTGCGTTATATTAGGGCCGACTAATAAAAATTGAGATGAAATTCATGCAGAAGGCCAAGACTGAAAAATAAAAGAAATAAAGAAATTAAAAATAAAAAAGCTAGCTTTTATTATATTTTAGGGAAATGCTACGGTCCCGTTACAGAACCATTCCGTCGGGGTTTGTAACCGTTAGATCAATCAACTAACTCCGACGGTTACATTATCATCCCACAGTTACGAACCCCGAGGGAATGATTTCGTAGTGTAGCATCTCCCTAAATTTTTTTTCTTTTTGTCCTATTCTTATTTCAGTCAAGACACTTAATCTGGGGTTGGTTTTCCAGCAGAGATGACTGTGCATGAAGATTCAAGAAATGGTACACTAAAACAGCCATTTGAAATTGATTTGCACAGAGAGAGAGAGAGAGAGAGTTCTTTACAAAACGAGACAAAATCTCCAATATATTGCACATGATTTCTGTGTAAACAAAGACCCAAAAACATACTTTCGTATTTCCATTGTTCTTTATCTTGTTTCATATCCCACCATCAACAGGCAAGCAAAAATGAGGTGCACGTTTTCAAATAATAAATAAATAAATAAATAAATAAATAAATAATAAGAAGAAGAAAATTGAGCTGTTTACTAGATCCATAACAAAGCATAAATACAGTACTTTTTGCTCATTGATTATTATCCTACTCAAATTTCAATTATTTGAAAGCTCAGGAAAACGTGGTACATACTCCCTCCTATTCATTATAAATGTCGTTTTGACTTTTTTGATTCATCCATTCTGTAATGTATCTAGACATATTAATGTCTAGATACATAATAAAATGAATGAATCACAAAAATCAAAACGACATTTATAATGAACAGGAGGTAGTATTATAAAGATACCTTGTGAAATTCAAGATTTCCTTTATTATAATATTGCTTTAACTTTTCTGGCTTTTCACATTTAAAAAAAAAAAAAATACATTTCATTCAAAACCAATCAAACACAAAATCACTAGAAATGTTATCTTCTTTTTCTCTCTTTTTTCAAAAATTCACCTTTAAATGTTAAACATTTTCCATCATCACAGCAAAAAAATTGAATAAGAATCTGAACAAGATGGCAGATAAGCCAACCAGCACCATTCACACACACTCACACATACCAAATACACACAGATATATGTGCAGAAACATGAAAAATGAGATTTTGGGAAAAGGGAAAGGTGGCATTTTTATGCTTTGTTTCTAATTTTTATGCCATATGATGTTTCATTCTTGCCATTACATAATAACAGTGTGTGTCTGTGTGTGTCTGTGTGTGTGTGTGTGTGTGAGAGAGAGAGAGAGAGAGAGAGAGAGAGAGAAGGAGAGAGAGAG